ACGTATATGGAAACTCTGCTGTTATTGCTAGGAAACTCTTTAAACCAATCCTACTGGTCTTTCAGCATCAGCAGTGGTAGACAAAGGATATTCCAATAGCAAGCTGTGGTAGAAAGGACAAAGTAGCCACATTATGTCTAGCCACAATCCCAGGATGTTAGACTTTTACAACACAAAACTACACCATAAAAAGCAAATCTGACACAAGCAAGCATAAACCCACGCATGCTTATGCACACTTAGAGAAGATACGTCTCAGCTACAAATATTTTATACTGTTTTTGACTCGTTGGATGACCATTTCCAAAATGATGTCTTTGACATGCCATGTCAAAGAAGAAGTCCTGGGTGACACTTTTGCACATATTAACAAGGCATCGGTCTTTGCTGAACTGGCTTACACAGCCTGGCTCACACGCTGGGAATACCACCAACAAATCTAAAAGTTTGGGAATTTGGAAACTTTCAGCAGTTGACTTCCTGTAGCCTGCAGGGAAAGCTAGTCTGGTACAGAGCGGAAAAAGGCAGACTGTTCTGTTAAAACTGGTGCCTGACGTACAGCAAGCATTAGTGGAGAAACCACCTATCAGCTATTCTGTAATTACACTTGGTACATAGTGGCTAGATTAGTCCTTCTTCTGCCAGGTAAATTCTTCGATCTCAGATCTCTAAAACCAAGGAGAATCTCCTTGCTTATTAACAGATTATACTACAAAAGGGAGCAAGAGACCTTGTCATCTCCTTATTCCCTGGCTGAGCCACATGTAGCACAAATATCCAAGAGAAAGCTCTGCGAAAAAGCCAGGCTTGTTAAAAGCATGCGAATTGCTTTTAAGGCAATTCATCCCACTGCTTGGCCCATGCTGTCTTGATGTGAGTCAGACTGTAAATGACACAATTTGGTTGCCACCATGCTAACCTCTGCATTCCTCTGACTCTGAGGGAGAAAGTCTTCTTCCTTTCTCACCTGACTTCAAATGGAAGTCTCATGAATGCCATGGATTTAGTCCGTAGTTTTATAATTGTGGTTTTATTTGAATTGCCACAAAAATGTTGGGTGAGATTAAACTCAGGCTTCTCCTTTTGAAGAGGTCTATGCTTAATATGACTTTTACACCCTCTTTTCTCACTAACTTAATTTTTTTCTCCTTTGAGTCTAGTTGCAAGCTCTTACACTGCAGTTGTGAGAGCCTTCCATTGGTACTGTGCTAAATGATATTTATGCATAAAGTTTTTCTAATTGCTGATTCCATTGGCATTCATAAACCTATGCTGGAATGAATGAAGCTCTCATTCATGTTTATATATTAGTTTCCAACATTTGTATGTTTGTAATCATCAGGCTACAACCAGCTTTCATGTGCAGAGACATAAAATGAGGCTAACTGAGTCAGGAGATATGCTCTATTATGTAAATGGAAAGATTCTTTTCTAGTATCGAGAGTTGAGTTTGCCACAGAAACCTCCCATTTCTGCAACTCAATGAAGTTTGTTCACGACGGGTAACTGTGGTTATGGTTACATTTATAAGCGGTTTGGATCAATAGAAGCCCATCTCGAGAGCTTATTTTGTGCTCAGGACCTGACAAAGGCACTGCTACAGGTTCATGGAATGCTTAGTTCAGCTAAGCTCTGTTTGCCCCACGCACCAATGCTGTTACTGCTGCAGCTCACCTCCCAGGCTAGTTCTGTCCAAAGGGAATCCAGGTCAGGACCCGCAGTGCCCTTCCTGATGTGAACCTGTGCTCAGCAAGCGGGCAACAGCTGAGGGTTGCCAGAAAAGCACTCTCCTGATCTAACTAACGAACACACTAACAAAGACACACCCTATGTGCAAATTACAGAGACTTATCCAATTAGAATATCTCTGTGGCAATCCTTAGCCATCAACGATTTTCCCAGCCATATAATTGCTAGTATTAACAACACAAGTTCCCAATTTAACAAATGGAAGCAAGACAAATGCCAACCTCATCCTGGCTTCTTCCAGCTTTATGATTCACAGTGTAGTAAGCTGTTGCCCTTGGTCTTTTGGAAATAGTGCCCATGTGAGAATTTTAATGACAATGCAGTACTGCTTCTGGTCTGTTCTGGATATCTGAGGGGTTTGATTTCTTTATCATGGAGGAGAATCTGATGGTCAAGCAAACTGGGTCTATTCTGCCCCAGGGACCTGTAGCTTATTCACCTCCACTCGATGGCCTGTGTACTTCCTCACTCTTAATGCTTAGCAATAGATTACCTGGCACAGAGACCCAAAATCAAGGAGAACACCTAAACAGTCTGGAATCAGCAGGGAGAGGAACCAAGGAGGTTTCTGGTGTAGCACCATGGGAGAGGATGGGTGGTAGGAAGAGGTGATATGACATATTGCTTAGATTTTCTGTGTCCTTTAGCATCACTGCCTTGTAGGTGAATGGCCACAACTGCTTTCCTCTCCAGTAAGCTACCATATTTTGGCACTGGCTCTGATTTCAATGCCTCCAGCATGGGAAACCAGACTTCCTGCCTGCCTGTATTCAGAAACTTTGTTAGTCCTTTTCTCAGGTCTTGCCACGCTTCTACAAAAAAAAAAAATCACCAGTATGCATGACCTTTTTATTACTATCCTTTATCCTTCTCTGAAACTGTCAGCAAATTATTGCTCATACGTTGCTTCATAGGAATTACTTATGCATATGCTTTGAATCTCACTTGTCCTTGAAGTAAGTGTAGATTACGTTAAGTAAAACTACTTACCCGTAGATATCAGACAGAGCCCCAGACAGACAGTGGGCCAAGACATAGAAGGATGATAGTGGCTTAAAAACACTATAATTACTTGCATTCAATAAGCATGGCATTTTCCCAGAGCTGTCTCTGTGGATGTTTGTGCTATGTATGGCTCAGCAAGGTAACAAGGAGAGGACAAGGTCTCTTGCTCCCTTCTGCTGTCTAACCTGCTTAAAAGCAAGATTTTCACTGTTCTCAGAGATCTGAGATCTGGATAACAAACTGACTATCCACTCCCGTTTTTTGTCCATAATAAAAAAACAGCTATATTGTCTCAATTCTTGACCATGCTGTCTGCCCCACAATACTGTTTTGAGTAGTTCTCCTTCAAGAATCTGATATTCCAGATGGGAACAGTTTCTGTAAAGCAGTGTTTTTCACAAAGGCCATGAAAAAAGCTCCAAAAAAAAGCATGGGAAAGGGGTCAAGATAACTGATAATGTTGTTATGCAGTGACTAAACAGATCTTGAACTGTAGTTTTTGAAAAGGTGATTTGTTTGCACTGCCCAGTCTTGGTCACGGTATCTGCACACACTTCCTATTAATAAGTAAAGTGCAAATTCATTGATAAACAGTAAAAGAGGAGTGGCACTCAGTCTCGCACAAGTCTTTTGTACAGTATATTGCACTTGTAAATATACAATCAGTGACAAATTCTGAAAAGACAGTACTCTTCCAGGGATTTTTTTAAGCCAAATCTACCAGGACCTGAGATTACTAAAGCATCAGTGATAATAATTACAATGAGGAACTTCAGTTGACTTCAGACACACTTTCAGCTTCCTCAGACTGCCATCTGTAACTTAACACTTTATAACTGAGGGCTATAGCTGACTTTAGTCAGAAAAATCAAGAAAGATTAGGGCACTAGAAAAGCCTGTGATCACACAGATGTGAGAAAATAAGAGACTCTGGTTTATTCGGCTTTATGCAAGTCACGTGATGTAATTAATTTCAACTGCTTTTGGTTGAAACAGAAACTTCCAGTAAAAGATTTTAATGATGTAATAATTACCTTTTTCCTTTCATGATCCTTCTAACTATGCCTTAATTTATGATGCCTTTAACTAGCATACATGCATCCTGGGGCTATGATGGATGCACACTTATTTAAGCCAAAAGATAAATCTTAATGAAAGGGATTTTTAACACAATAATTAACATGTTTTTTGATCATCATAACAGTAATTATTAGAGACACAAAAATAAAATCAGATCTCAGAAGAAACCATGAAGATCCTAAATAGGGTGGACTAGCAACACTGCCCTATTATTTTGCCAAGAAATGATACATCAAAGTGGCAGGAGTGAATCATCATACACTACTGGGAACTACACCCAGAGAAACCATGAGACAAAAATATGAGATGCACTAACCTCCACCGTAAATTGCAAATTATAATCACACAGCAGATAGTGTGCAACATGCTTTTTCTCATAGTTACCAACCTATGCTCTCCTTATGCCTCCACAAACATGATAGCTCATCAGATAAAGAAAACAACGGAAGAACCACAAAAGCGTAGGCATTTTGGCTTGATATGAAAGGTCCATTTATTTTAAGAAAATGTTTTTACTCTGAAGGATTATAAGCTCTCAATATGTGTCAAATAACCCAGTCGAGCAGCCTTGTTCTTTACAAACGTATTACCTCCTAAAACCCCACTTTTTAGTGGGATTATATACACCTGATGGGAGGCAAAACCAACAATGAAAGGAGCATACACACTCTTACCTGCTGTCATTCTCCCCTTAGCAAATATTACTAGCACTCAGAATTTTGCTCAGCTATGAAATCATTTTGCCCATATACACGCGCAGGCAGACTGTAACTTGCAGGCAGCCCTTTTGCAATGACAAACAGTAAAGATGTCAAACAAAGCTGAAAACGCTTTTTAAAGAATATGCTATTGATTTTACCCCTGAGTCAGATTTACTTTAGGAATTAGATTCATAGAATCACAGAATGGGTTGGGTACAAAGGGACCTTAAAAACCATCTGCTGTCGTGGGCAGGGACACCTACCACTAGATCAGGTTGGCCAGAGCTGCACCCAGCCTGGCACTGAACACTTCCAGGGATGGGGCATCCACAACTTCTCTGGGCAACCTGTTCCAGTGCCCCAAATAAAAAAAGTTTAACAGTACACATGGAAACCTCATTTAAAAGGAGATAGCAAAAAGAGAGGAATAAAGAGCTCCTTAAAGAAAAGGATATAGTATGGTACCTTTTCCAGTCAAAGTTTCTTCTTTTATTTTCCTCACTGCTTTTTGGCCCGCGCTTTCACTGTTTCCAGCTGTGAAAATACAGAAAATAGAAAATTAGCAATGCAATCAACTTAAAAGTGTGAATATAAGCATGCCACTGTGAAGTGCTAACTGCAGGGTAAAACCAGCATGAAGTTTTAGGTGAAAAGGTGTGCTTCGTAACTGTCAGGCAGCAGAGGTTTTCGAAGAGGGCTATACAAATGCATTGCTGTTCATACGAATTCTGCCTGTTTATCTCATTTATTCATATAAAATAGGACCATCTGCTGGCTGGATCAGCAGATTTGAGATGTAAGTCTCTGAGCCAAGTGAATTGTATCCCATTCAGATTCTACAAGAGCTTCAAGTGTCCTGTCCTCTCTGTCACAGTGTCACAGAATAAGATGAAATTGAAAGGGCCCTCAGGAGGTCATTTGGTTCAACCTCTTGTTCACATTAGCATGTACATGCTTGTATTTACTCTAAGATGTTAGAAAATACTTTACAGTGCTATTAAACTGATTCATGTCATCTCACAGAGAATGTGTTAAAAAAGTGGGAGTAAGCCCTTTGAGACAGAGCATGTGTGATCCATCACCTGCACTAGCTGAAGGCTCAGAGCACTGAATGGAGATTTTAGGGAACTCCCAACCACTTTGAGGAGCTAATGCACCCTTTTGAGGATGGAGTTTTAGCTGTGCTTCTGCAGTAAAAAACAAGGATTTCAAACACATCTCTTTTTTCACGATATACAGGAAAAACCAGTATTTACATAAATTTAGGTAAAATAAATACATTTAGCATTCCAGACACTGGAGAGAAAATAATTCTCACATAAAATCTAGAGTTATACACTTTACAACTGTTCTCTATAAGTTCCATTAACTATGGGGTTGTATTATTCAGACTGACCAAGAAAGAAAGAAAGAAAAAAAGAAAACAAAGCAGATATTTGCAGTATTTTCTTCTTGCTGATTTTTTACCTTTAAAACCATCCAGCCTCGTACAAAAGAAAAAAAATCAGTTTGATGTTAATTTCCAGACATAGATGCAGCATCAACAGACAAACCCTCCAGTGAAACTGCCATTTCTGGGGAAATCTGTGCACAGGCTTTATGGGCAAGAGATTAATTTTCCTCACTGTTCCACCTCAAGAAGGGTACTAGAGTAGGATTTCAGTGTTTTACTATGATGGATAGAGCCATAACAGAGATAAAAATACTTTTGTACCAATTCTGTGAAGGTTTTATTTGATTCCTCTTTCATTTGGCACCCCTCAAGCAGAGATCAAGCTTATTAAAGCCTCCAGTGTCTTGATTTAACTCTCAGTGTGTTCATTTAATTTGTTCTTTTAAAAGAGCTTGTGTTCACAACAAATTTTAATTTGCTTTATTTTGCTGTTATATAAATGGTTATTCATTAAAGCTCAGCGTCTTCCAAATGAGCTCATTTTATTCATATTTGCATATTTTTCACCCTAGACCACTGGGGAAAAAAAAATTATTTTGCTAAACAGTCACTTCAGATGTCTGTTTCCAGCCTGATACAACAGAGAGTTTGAAAACCAGATACTGAAGGCTGGAGTATCACAAAATTGAAATAGCCTCAGTGAAAACTGCCACTTTAATGGAGGCTTTTGAAATCCTTCTTTCAAATAAAATGCTGTAAGAACAAATAAAGACACTGTAAAAATGACCAAAATCCTTACAAAAAGTTCAAAGACACCTATATCAGAAAGATACCATAAAACTGCTTCTGAGAGTTAGGTTAAGGAAAGCAGCACTCCCTTGCTGCAGATGGGTGGGAGAGGAAAGGAACACTGCACTGTCACAGTTTCCCTTCTAGCATGTCCTTCTGGGATCCTCTGTGCAAAGTGAGTGGTAGGTGTGAAAAAGATCAACCTCCTTTTAAGTGCTACATTAATTATTCAAAATTTAAAAAGAAAAAGTCACCAAGCTAAAACAAACAGTTTCAGGTTGGGAAAAGTCAAAACTAATTTGCGTCTTCGAGATGGAGTTGGGTCACTAAAGAGCACAACCTTCAAGTGCACTGAACAGGTGTGCAGCACCCTAAACAAAGGAGGAGGATGGTTTACTATATACGGATCAAATTCTCACCACTGTCAGCTAGACTGGATCCTCGGTAGAATATTTGTAGTGATTCTTTAAAAAACTTTGTGATATATAAAATAATCCTCTGTCTGAACTTTTTTCAATGAGTCACCATAATTTTCATACAGTCCACATACCAGAATTTATCCATTTTAAGCAGTAAAGCATCTGTAGCATAAGATCTGCCTACTCTGAATTCAAGTGGTTTGTAGGAAAGGGTAAGAAAGGGAAGACAGATCATGTTCTTTATGCAGTGAGGGAATCTTAACAAAAGCTTTGAGAAAAAGGCATTCATTGTTTTGGGAGGCTAGATCATCAAAGTACCCAAAACTGTAAAAACCTTTCTTTTCATGCTGATTTAAAGTGTCTGTTGGGAGCTCAAAATAGATATAGTTGTCTCAAGAACTGTTTATGCAAGCTGTTCAGAGCCCTATCTGATGTTTTTCTTGCCCTTAGCCCCCACAGAATAATGAAAAATTTAGGTGAGGCTGATTCAATAACAATGCTGACTACAAGCAATTCTGAAAATAAAACTAATAACATAAACATAAATTTATTTTAAATGGATGCATCTGTATAAAATCAGATGTTATTTCAGTGACTTACAAAATTCTAATTCTCAGTAAAATACTGAAACTTGTGCTTGGGAAAAAAAGGTAAATATATTTAAATACAGCTTTTAGTCAAAAAAATTTACTCTTCAACATTCACTTACACAAACACCACAAGTCAAAGCACATTGATATAAAGCCACCAGTGAAGTACATAGAAAAATTCTGATCAGCAGCAATAGGCTCTGGATCTTATCCTAAATGTCAGCCTCTGTCATCTTAATCACTTAAGTAGATCCTAACTCTGAAAGTTATTTCAGGGATTTCAACAGAATTATCACAGAGATTGCTAAGTCTGAATAAGGCTGGAAAAAGCACAGCCCATAAAAAACCCAGCATGGGCTAAAAACACATTATAGCTAGTTAAGGGGTTCTGATACATCTATATGTATTCTTTATATAATATTTTTAATTTTTTTGAATGTGAATATTTCTCCAAAAGAGTAATTGCTACTCACACCCTGAATTTATGTACAAAATTGATCCTGATTAAAAAAAGCAAGATTCTTTCCAATTGGTGTTTTGCAAAACTAGGAATTTGAAATATTGACTTTCAAGGGAATGTACTGCAAGGCATTATAAAGAAATTTAAAATGGTCTATGATCAACGATAGAGCCTGTAAAGCTTACAGTTGCCTGGAGAGAATAAACCCGCAAATTTAAAAAGCCCTCACTTACCTAAGCTGTCAGGGGAAAAATTTCCTGACTTTCAGTAAGATAGCACAAACCAAAGACAAATAAAAACGTTTTGAGATGAACAACTAGAAGACGCAAACCAACCAGCATGCAGTGGTCCAGAGAAAGACCCGACCACTCCCCCTTGAAGCCTGAGAGCTGCCCTGTGCACCAAGGCACCCCTCAGCCTGCTAAACCCACTGCAGTGAACCCGGGGAGGAGAGGCACGGGTGAGCCTCCCAGCTCTTCCAAACACTTCAGCTGCAGGCAAGTGCGATCCCCCCATTCACCAGTGCCTGGGGAACCGGAGATAAACACCCATCCCCTGACTTATGTAGCCATAATTATGTATCAGTTAATCCCTGAAACAAAGCAAACAGGGTTTGCAGCATGGCCCATGGCCCTCCCCACTGCTGACTGAAGTAAACAAAATTTAGAAGTAGTGCCCATAAACTCTAATGTATGTGTGCATTACCAGGAAAAGCTTGGTGGTACAGTAATAACTTCCGTATAAGTGTATCCTGTCTGATTAAGGAGTTGCAATGGGTGATGGTTAGGTGTCTTTGTGCCACAGAATATAAAAAAGTTTCCAAATGAAAATTTGAATTAAGGTGCCTGAGAGTAGCATAATCCTCATGATCGAAGGGGAGCTGATTTCACTGGAGCGTGAGCCCAAACACAGGGCTTGTGAGGGCACCCAATGCCTCAAGAGAAAAACAAAATCCTATCAGCTGGTGTTAGGACGATTACAATTTTATGAGTGTGCACAACAAATAGCACATGCCTAAGAGGGAGGAATGACTGCCCCCAAAAAACCACTGAGGATGAGAAATTTGAACTCATTACAATATGAGCAGGTTTTAAAACGAATTTATAACATCTTCAATAAAAAGGAATGCAGATCTTGTGTCTCACCTGTAAAATGTTTAAGGCATGAATTTCAATAAAGCTAGGTATAAGGATGTGACCAGGTATTAAAAAAGAATTAAGAAAATGATACAAAGCTTCCTTATGTCTAGATACCATACATCTTTTGTCATGCAGTTCATCATACAGCAGTCACAATTAAATACATGCCTTTTTGATATGGAAGGTGAAAATATTGTTGTAAGTGTTCCTTTGAGAAAAGAAGTAAAACTGAGCAAGGGAGAGAATGTCGGTTTGCAACAAGAAAAGAAATCCTCATTCTTGCCCTAGGTTTCTGCAACCCACCTGTTCCAACAAGACATTAAGAGTGACTCTGTTTATCAAACCAAAAGTACATCTAAACAAGTGCCCTGTTTCCAACAATAATCTATAGCAGGTGCTTAAGGAAGAGGTATAAGTGAGAGCATTAAGTCTAGGAGTGGTATTTTCCAATACATCCTCCCAGAAGCAAGAAGTTTCAGAGATTTCCTGACTCAAAGATTGCACATAGTCTCTCAATGAAACAAATTGCACTTTCAATTCATTCAAGTGTTTGGCTGCCAAAGGGTTCTGGGACAACAGGCTCTGTTATTTCATGACACACTTAATTACATTCAAAAGGTTGCACTTCAGTAGTTTGTTTGTTGTTGGAGTTTTTTTATTTTGTTGGATGTTCTCTACTTTGTGCATAATAAGACAAGGAATGACAACTTCTCATTTATTTTCATACCATTCATCATTGTATGA